TACCACACTCACTACGCGCCCCTTTTTTGAAAATGGGCACTATCACCGATTCTCCCCAGTTGTCTGGGACAGACTCCTTTTCCCAAATGCAAGCAAAAAGGTCGGACAAGCGGTGACTGAGGACTTCACCCCCGTCTTTGAACAGTGCGGGTGGAAGGTCATCCGGATCGGGAGCTCGGTGGCGCTTGAGAGAACATATGCAGTCGTAAACCTCCGAGGCCGCAGGTGGTTCCGCGTTCACCATCCAGGGTTCTACTTCACCTGTGGGCTGTAGATGAGTACCGGCTGGTGGCCGAGACATTTGTTGTTCAAAGTATTCAGCCCGCCGGTCGAGGCGTTCTTCTTTGCTCGAGATGGTCTTTCCGTTCTGATGCTTGATGGTTTCGCTCACAGGTGGTTTCCGGGGACCGGTCGCACGGATCAACTGAAATAATCTTCGGGCACTACCGGCTTTCTGGGCCTCTTCCATTTCTTTGGCTTTCTGGGTCCACCATACTTCATGATCAGATCGCAAGCTCACTTTCACTTGGCGTCTGATAGCTCTTCGCACCGGGTTATGTTCGGGACCGGCTGGGATATTTCTTCTAGATTTAAGTAGTTCCACCGTTCGGTCTGATATCCAGTGCTTGAGTCCGCCTGGTTGGGTCGTGCCACAGGCGAAATTCCCAGCACTATGCAAAGAGGTGGCAATCTCGTCCCAGTATGAGTTCACATTTGACTCTAGAAGACGATTCTGGTAAATTCGTCTAACGTATGGATCTGCCAGTCTCTCACTTGCCAAGCGATTTGTTCTCACCTTACGCGGCCCAGGAAAACGTAGAGAGAAGCGACTCCGGATGAGTGCGTGGTCAAAGTCCGAAGTGTTTTCCAAAACGGCCAACAGTCAGTTATTGATCCGCACCATCGGTAGCTAATGGCAACGTGATCGATTTGAGCTTTTGGCCAGTACGCCGTTGGAGGTCACCATGTGGAGAGACGACTTCGGCTCTTTCAGAAGTTAGTACTGCTTCTAGCTGAGCGCAGCTAATTCTTGAACAGTGCCACTCCTTCAAACGTCCCACGTTGGTTGTTTTTCTTGATCTGAAAGCTGCTTTTGGTTCCATCGATCGTCAGAAAATTTGGCAGTGTCTGGCGATCAGAGGTGTCCCTTCCAAATTTTAATCCGTTATGAGGGCACTACATGCGAACTCTTGTGGGCGCGTGCGAGTGTATGAGAAGCTTTCGCTTGAGTTCACCATGTCCACTAGTGTAGGACAAGGCTGCCCACTCTCACCTTTCCCCTTCAACTGCGTTATTGATAAGCTTCTTGAAATTTCTCTGCCTGCTTCTGAAATCTGTGGAGGCGAAACGTTCCCGGGACGTTCTCTCATAGACATTGAGGATGCCGATGATATTGCTGTCCTTGTTTCAAATCCTTTAAAAATGTAAACCATTTTAAATAAACTAGATAACTCTGTTTCAAGGTTTGGCACCTTCAAAGTGTAAAGTTCTGCTATGAGACTGAGTTGGATCAAACCCAAACCTAATGCTTGCAGGTGAGCCAATAGGCTTCGTAGATAAATTTGTTTACCTGAACAGTTATATAGGTTCCGGTGGATTGGCTGGAGATGAGATTACTTCTCGAATCGGGAGGGCCACGGTAGCTTTTGCCAACCTCTTACATCAATGGCGCCGATCTGGCATCAGTTTGTCTCTCAAGGGCAGATTTTACACTGCGATGGTGCGATCCATACTGCTTTATGGACCTGAGACATGGCCTCTACGTTCAAAGCGCTTTCGAAAGATTTAGCGTTTGACCATCGGTTTCTCTGAAGCGTTCGTCAGTTCTAGTGGGAATGTCGGATTTGCAATAATTATATACACTAAATGGTTTTAGGCAGCAGGAGTTCCCCTACAATTGATGAGTTGCCCACACTATAGGTTATGCTGGTTAGGACATGTACTTCACATGCAAGAGGACCGCCTGCCTCACAGAGCTATATGCAAGAGGACCGCCTGCCTCACAGAGCTCTTTTCGCTCAGCCTTGTGCTGAGTGAAAGTGCCTGAAAGGTGGACAGTGTATGACCTGGTAAAGAAATATGAAAACACTAACCCGTAAACTGAGTGGGATTGACAACTGCTTCCTCGGATGGGAACCTTGGGACCCAATAATTAGTGACACTGACAAAATGACCCAATTATGCAATCAGTGGCATTCGTGTATCAGAGCTATCACATTCAATGCGTAGCTACCCAGTTCCTGAACATGCCATCGCTTCCAATGCTTCGCTGTATTTCCCGCACTCTTCCACTTTTCGGTGATAGAAACTATACCATCTGGGACGAATGTATTTATGATATATGATTTATAGCCGATGAATTGTGTTGGATCGATCTGCCAGGTTTTTGGTAGCTGACAAACAACAACGCTTTCACGCGTTTACTTTAGTGAGAGCTCTTACCGCAGGAAGGCGGTAAGTGAAGCCTTTCTAACAAACTGCATGGCAGTTCCCTTCAAAGCATTCACGGGGTTAGAACGACGTCTACTCGTTTTCTCAGTGAGAGCTCTTAGCGCAGGAAGGCGGTAAGTGAAGCCTTTCTAACAAACTGCATGGCAGTTCCCTTCAAAGCATTCACGGGGTTAGAACGACGTCTACTCGTTTTCTCAAGACACCATCTACCGTATTATAACGAGTTAGTTAAGTAGTTAACGTGTTTACTGACAGGAATGTTCGCGCTTCAAACCCAACTTCAGTATCTCGATTGCTCCCCCCTAGGTTTGGACAACCTGGCAGTATCTCAACACTGGTGATTTATTCGGGTGGCATGCCAGCTAGGCACCGAAAATTGTTATAGCTGGACGATTATGATTATTTCTTTATTGAGGAGCGAAATTACCGAACGGAAGGTGTGCGGCCTTAACCCAACCACAACATGTCGACTGCCCCTGTCCAGGCTTGTGCACCCCGGCAGTGGTTTGACCCTCATGCTTTCTTCAGGTAGCACGGCAGCGTTGCACTGAAAGTGTTACGACTCAGCGACGTTTCAATATTTCAGTTGTGTCGTTTTCGATCTTGGACTATGTATTTTCCTGCTTTTTCCCGTTTTGCTTCAGCTTGTATGCATGCGGACTGTAAGCATGCCGTGGACATACGACACTAACTCACAAACACCACGGTCATCCACTCCAGGCTCCTCGTTCTTAAACAACAGCCTCCAAGAAACTGGACAAAGCATTGCCTACACTTCTGCTCCGATTGTTCTCACCGGGTTGGGCTCGACTGTCTGTCCACAGATGACTACGGGAAGCCCCATGTTTGTTAATTCCCCCTTCAGCAGCATTGCCACCCTACCTGGCCGTCCGCGTTTACTGACTGAACGTCCACTGAGGCAAATCAGGCATTCATTTTTCAACTCTCGACTGGAAGCTGACCGAGGTAACATTTGATTACTGTATTCGTTATAGTTGTGAGGATATATAGATGAACAAGGTGGCGCTATAACTAAGCTTGACGAGTTGCAATGGACCCTAACTTTAGTAGCTAGCAACTTTGATGCAGGTGTTCATGGTTTGGAGGTTCACTCAGAGGGCTACTTGAGGGAATCACTCGAAATTTCACCGGCCTATATTTTCATGAAAGCTGTAACTTAGTGTGAACTATTTTGTCTTCGTCAGTCGCGTCATAGACTATCAGAGCCAAGCGTTGTGCTCACGCTCTTTGACTGTCTTCAGTTGTGAAATGATTCTCCACAAGCAGTTGTTCGCTGCCGGATCTAGCGCACCACTCAGTAAGACCTCATCTGCATTTTCTTCAGCCTTTGTTTATCATCTGAGTATGAGGGGTAGGTGTTTCCCTGTATGAGACGTGACTGTCCACTTAAAACGGTCCTTCGCAAGGCCCCACTGGATAGTCAGCACTTATCGTTCATTCATCACTCCAGTCAGACGTAGAACGCTACAGACATTGTTGCGCGGCCTGAAATGAGTCTGTAGCCCAACTCATTTAAAGGGTCATGAAAAGAAAACTTCCCAGGTTGAAGTCCATATTGGTGTTAAGATTCCAGTTCATAGAGCAAAGGAAATCTTTTTTAATCTATTTATCTGCCTCTTCATATTTGTATTTACCTGTTCATATAAATATGCATTCGTATCCATATGCTTATTCATCCGCTTATTTAGCCGAAGTGTTTTGACTGTATGTCCGGACGGTTTTTTGTGCAGCTGACCTCCGGAAAATTTCTTGGACATTTCATAAGTTCATTCTGTCTATTAAATTTATGTCCGCGTAAGGGAGAAATCACTTGTGAAGGAGGGCATTATCTTGAAAAAGGACACTAGCAGTGGCTAGGAAATAACGTCGTGTTGAGTTATTCCATCTCTGAACTGCCTGTTTAATATTCATTATCGCCGGTGAAGTTTCAACCCCGAACTGACTCCCTTCACGTCAACCATTGTTTAAACTATGTGAAAGTCAGTCCCTAAGGCGAGCCTTACGAGCTGTTAGCCATTTCTACCTTCCAACACGGTATCAGCTAATCACAGAAGGGTGTAAATTAGCGGCATTTTTAAAGTCTTTTACTGCTTACCTTAGTCCCAAGTTTCTATTCAGGCAATTCACAATGTACATCAATGCCTCCTGCATCTGATCAAGTTTGAATCTGCTATTTCTTTAAACATTCCCGAGTCCCTACTTGTAGTTGATCGACGGTTGTTGCTCATTGTTTCAATCTTCCATCTGTTACTATTTGTATTTTCTAGTGTTTGGTGCCGAACAAAATGCTTCAGAAGACCAGAGTTGGTGTATTTCCGATAGTAGGGTAAGCCTTCCTTTGCATCTGTATTCTGTATTTTTGACGTGGTAGCATTCAACTATATCCACATTCGAGTCATTAGGGTACTGATGCACTTTTTATTTATTTTGTTTGCTCCACTCCACTCCGTTCTGCGGCAGGCAGCTAGTTGATTGGAGAGAATATTGGTAGCTTAGGTGTCTGAGCTGGGCAATCCGGTTGCTATTAGATCACCACGAATCGAGATTAGATCCTCAGTGCGCGCTTGTGATGAGCTGTTTGGAACTTAATTACCAAGCTCAGCAAACGAACCAACTACCAGGAGGGCCTATCTCAATGAGATTGTTGCTCTCAGTTTAATCCAGAGTGTTGTTGGGTGTTTGGAATTTAAAGGACCTCGGTAAGCTTGTGATCAATTATTGTCCCGTTCTACTCCATATTTTAGTGATTTTTCACAATAGTTCTCGCTAACTGGTCCGATATCCATGCAAGCTGGTGCAACATCAGCTCCTAGGGGAGTTGATGGTTGCGGAAAGAGATGTCGAGTATCTGGTAACTGTCTAGTGCTTCACGATAATTTCCAACCTACCTCCGGCCAAAGAATACATTAAAAATGTTGACTACTAGCAAGATCTCATCCGAAGTTCAATGAGTATTTGCCCCCTTCGTTTTCGAAATACTTATTTGTAAGTTCCAAAAAAAAGTGTGACACTATTTCAGTCCTCAATGTAACTCGTCCTCAGTTGAAAAGATTTCGGAACACCCCACTTAATAGAACGCCAGCTGGTGACTGGAACATCTCTGGTTTGAGCCCATCTATGACCTTTCGACTGTTCCTGTCTCGGTTAAACAACCTGGCAGTGTCTCAGTCCTCCTGCTGCTTTCGGATTGCGTGAAAGTGATACACCCAAAGGATCCTGCAGCTGAACGTCTGACTCCTAAGGCAGCAAGCTGATTCGTACGGCAACACTCCTTGGAGAGTCCCAGTGACCATCTGGTTTGAAACCTGCTGCCCATGGTATTCGAAATATCGCTTCTCGCTTCTTCGTAGATGTTCATTCATTCATCAAACTAGATGTCACTGACACTAGCATGGTCTTGAACATCCTTGAAATTCAGCTGCTTCCTACGCCTACCTTGGTCAGGCTAGTGAGGGTTTGTTATCAAGATATACTTTCATGTTTGCTCTCCAGTTTAGAATTGTTGTGGGAAGTACTTAATCAGAAAGGGCTACGCGATAGCAGCTCTCGAGAACTGTTTGAATGGGACTGGCAATGGCCATGTCCCATCAATCCCTCCGATCACTTTGAGGCCTTCAGAAGTGAGACTATCATCCATTAACAATTCAGCCCTAGGTTTGGTTTGTTTCCAGGTTAATAGTTACCCTTTTGATTGACTTCTATTAGCAGGCGTTCCCTTTAAGCTTGATATAGAGCAGTCATGGAAACAATGCAGGCCGTAAGGAAAACAATGGGGACGGAATGGTGTCCATAATCTCTACCATCAGTTCTGCTTCCAGCGAGTAACTGAGTGGTGCTCAGCTGTTACGGGGATGTGAAACATAAGACACAGCTAGTCGCCGTCGTTTGGTACCGCCATTAATCAGTTAAGAAGGGATGGAGGTGTATGTCGGTATTCTCCACTTTTATGAGTGCTTAATGTCAGCTTTCGAGGCAAACCACTTTACCACTTCACGTACAAGTTTCAGTGTCTGATCAAATCGCTTTGTTCTTACAATAATAATCGTTGTGGGATTTTTGAAACAGGCCGAGCGAAAGACCACTTTCTGACTGTCATCATGTATCATCATTGTAGAATCTGGGGGTTTTCTTTTGAATAACGGGCACTCGTTAGTAGCTGACGATGCGATAAAATTTCTTGCTAGAAAATCTTAAATGATTGTCCCTTGTGTCACAGCAAACTTCCGTGACTCTGCAGGAGCTCGGTATCGAACCTCCCATGAGGCCTTCGGATGTTTTTGAAGCCAATTTCTCTGTCTTCATCTGGTTGCTGCACTTATTTGTAAGGAACACCATTCTGGTGGTGACTAACTAGCAATTCATGATAACAATAATAGTATTTCTAGTTATACTTAATGTCTCGGAACGCGTTAATGGACATGTGGACCTTTCTCTGAACGTGAGCCGATTCAATAGGTCCACTTTGTGATTGCCTCGGATTATGCTCCATTTGCTTTTCATCTTATCCTAGTAACGCTTAGTCTATTGTGACATGTCTAGAGATCATTCACGTAGACAAAAGCCCTCAGGCTCACGCGATTTTCTATAGTTGAATAGCCTAGTAACTTAACCGCACACAGTTGAACTTGACTCCATTCCTCATGTACTAGCAAGGTCAGCGTGAAGCTGATCTATTTTATATGACCTGTAACAGGGAGCACGACTAGTTTGTAGTCTTGGCTTTGTCAGCAAAATAAGTGATTCTTGTGCGAAATGAAATCTCGGATATATGTTTGTGTGAGTTTCGGAATTCGAAAACGTAACCTTTCGATTCGTAACTAAATGCTATGCCCTTCGTCCGTGGGTCGCCGATAAGCCCTGTGGTTAACTTGCACTTAGGATATGGCTGTACCGTCCTTCAGTCACAGTTCATGTCGCTTGGTCCACCATTGATAGGTTTTGATCAAGGACTTGGATTATACTCTATTCTGAGCGGACTACAATAATTTGTAACTGGTGAGACCTTGAAGTTTAAACTGCACCCTTGTCATGTAGAGTAAATAAATATGTGCCGCAAATGCTCTTTCTACTCAATCTGTTCGGGGTCTTGGGTACGTTTTCCAGGCATTTTGCGATAAAAACTCGTCTGAAGGGAACACCTCTTTGAGGATGGATTGAAACTTCATTCGTCTCTCATTTAGGAGTTTTAGCGTGCTATCACGGTGTTTTTCAATGTTACTGGAGACCGCTTCAGAAGATGCTATCAACCGAACTAATGGACAATAAGGGGACCTTGAGATATCTGTAAGAGAGAATGAGCAGACAAACACATGTGGAGTCATTACGATGTGGAAGGCCAAACCCGGAACTTGAACTACTGAAACTTATAGGAATTTCGAAAAACAGGCTGAGGAAGAGGGATAACTTTTCTTAGCTTAGGGATTGGGGGGATTGGACATTATCTAAGTGACCGGGAATGAAGGGGCTGGTTGAACTAGGGAATTATTTCAGAAGTAAAAGTAGGGAGGCGTGTTATGAAAGAGATTCACTGCGGTAGAAGCAGTAGAATAAGGATAGAGGAGCTCAGTTCCCACGCTATAAGAAAGGGTGAGTCGTCCGTCAGTTGAAGGGATGCAGTGAGTCGCATGACTTCTCCATGAACTTGGTCGGGTAAGATAAAGCAAACGGAATGGGCTCATCCGAGACATTACAACAGTATTCCTTGGTGAGGTGAACCTGAGATAATATTCTAATGGTTGTTGGGAAGAGATTCAGAATTCTCCTGATCAAAACGGAGCCCAACTCTTCTAAATCCCGAGTCACAACCAATTTGGCATGACACAACCTGGAAGGATCGTCGGAGAACGATGAACCAAGAAAAGGATACGTCAGAAACTGGAACGAAAAAGGTAGGGATCTGGAAGGTTTGTATGTGGCGCAAAGTCAGGGTTTAACGTGGCCGTAGTCTACATGCGATATTCACAAATATGGAAGGAGGAGACGCCGGAGAGGATAAGAAGTGAATGTAGAGGGTAGCATCATTTTTAAAAGATGCAAGCTGAACGGGGCCAAAGTAAATTGTTTACTTACAGTAGGAAAAGTAAGAAGTAATTTGGAACCTGAGAAACATACTTTAACGTCATGTACTTTAGAAACGCCATAAGGCGGACTGGAAACGAACGATTTTTCTTAGAAAACTTCCAGGCTGCACATACTAGTTTGGCGAGAAGTCTCGTTTGCTATACCCGATCAAAATCCTTTAAAACGTTAAAACGTACCGAAAGTGCCTCAGATGGATGCCCAAACCTAGGAACCTGTGTTAGTTGACCATCAGTGTGATAGAAATTGGATAGTAGTTGTTCGTGTCGGAAAGGAGTCCACGCAAAAGAGTAGGGTGTGTGCTCTTCTAGGCTAGGCTTCCAATACCAATGAACGAAGAAAATAGAAGAGGAAGACTATGCGTTAGACTAGTTCTGGGGCAGTTTTTCGAAGAAGTAGATCCAATAGAGGGCTCGCATGTGTCTCAGGGGAGAACAAATGGCAGACATTCTTTGTGATGTTGGCAAACATAGTGAATTGAATAGGGGCTGTGGGCACACTGCGGTATTGTTCCAGGAAAACGTGTTGGAGTTGGAGGTAAAAAGCTGAGCCAGTATTCCTGCTTTTTCGTGGTAAGGACCTAATTTATCTGTGGAGAATAGGGATGAGAGATGGGAGAACGAATTCTAACTGATCGCTTTTTCATGACCAGAAGAACCGATGCATGATCGAGCCATTCTGTGGATAAATTTAAGCCAGTTATGTAAAAATAAGGGATGAACAGAGGCTCTTAGTCACACAGAACACTACCCGTGTCTGCGCTAAACACAGGTTTTTCTGAGATAAGAGTCAACGATTCGACGCATACCCTTTGAATCAGCTGATGATTTGCACCAGAATGCACGACAAATATAGATATGGGTACGACAGATTAAACTGAGTGGATACAGGCGATGAATCAGTGCTTGGAGGACCCTAGTGAAACATGTGCTAATGGAGCAAGAATTTTGATGAGTAGTTAAAAATAGAATGGTCTTTTTTTGAGGACAACCATCGCTATTCTAAATTAGGATTGGGAAAGATAAGATAAGAAGTGAGAATTAGTGATCGCGGAGAATTCTGCCTTGCTGATTCAGTGTGCGCCCAGCGATCAAGTCACTCTGAAGTATATGTATCAAATTTGCCGTCAATACAGAGATCACGGATGGAGTTTAGCTCTAAGATAACTTCGCAATTGACGTTCAGAACTGAGACCAAAGGAAACACATCATTTCCATTACAGAACCGATAAACGTAGCAAGATATTTCCTTACCTTTGGACATTTGAATGCGAACCGCAATAACAGGAACTCGAGAGTGAATGTGTCAATTGGTGGAATCAGTTGAGCACAGAATATGAGAAATCGTAATTGAGTGGGATCACACTCACCATAAATCTGAGTCAGTGTGAGAGGTTAGAAGAATTGGTATATCAGACAGCAATTCAAGTGAATTCTACTCACTGTAATTCTCGTATCATACTGGGACTACTTGGTCAGCCAGTATGGAGGGAATGGTTTTGGTTTATTTGCTGAAAGTAGTGCACGACTGAGAACAACTGATATAGAGCATCAAACTATTTCTACTTATCTGGACTCGCTTTTCCGTTTTCGCCCCGTTCCTTGCAGCCTGACCTTCCTTGGACTCACCCAACAATACCTAAACGTCGCCGCACGTCCACTAGTTCGGTCGGCTTTATGGACTGTACCTATCTTCCTGCAGCACATGACGTGACTGGGGTAGTAAACCAACCGGACGCTGTTGTTCACATGCAATCCCCTGTGTCGGCTGTTCTGGCCAATACTGTTTCCGCAGTCCGTTTCGTTCGCGGTGGTTGGCACTGTGAGGTGCCACCTACTACAATTTGTTTGCAATCCACAGCACAACGGCAGTCATGTTTGCCCAGTCTCACTGGGGCGTCTGCAGTCCCAGTTCAAAGCACTGGGGATCGCGGCGTTCGAAACTTTGAGGACGTTCGTAATGTTCGGTACGGTTGCCATAGCCGACTGCTAAACAGGGTGAACAGTTTGCACCACCAATCACATCAGCGGAAGCGGCTTTTTTGTCGTGCATATCGTGACCACTATCACAAGATGGCTTATTCAGCATCGTTGGTTCGTTCTCGTCATCAGCACCCCTATTATTCATCAAAGTCAGGTACGCTGATCTATTTTTCCATCATCTGCAGGCTTTAGCCTGTAGCGTATTCTCCCTATTGCTATTGGTCTTGGTTACTCTTCGTTTTCGCTTACATTCACCACCCAGTTTGTGCATGTTTTCACCCCCAGCTTTCAGCATCGGTTTAAGGTTTTCCTCGTTCGTTGTACAATCATTAAAGGTGTATTTATCACAGGAGCCTGCACTTGAACAGTTCCCTAAACGGAACACTATCTGCCAGTAAACATACTTCTATGGATTACAATATCTTCTGGAGTTGTCGGTATCCTTTACGGTCTGGTGAACCCACTCGCCAGGAAGTTCCCTTCAACAACCCTATCTGTATCTTCTTCCTGTCAGAATACCCGGCTTTTTTTCGACAACAACCCCGATATGAAACCTCACTACTATTGAGTACTTCCTCTTGCCCCACCCCTCCCTTCCTACTTAACGGCATGATTAAACCTCCGTCAAAACGCCTTAGGATCCTTATCAGAACATCTTTAGTTTCCTATCAAGGCACATTAGCATGTGGGTAACTCCACTGCTGTTATCCGTATTCCACTTACCCAGATAGATTAGGCGTAGTAACTCGTGTTTTGATAAGGTATTCAATTACGAACGAAATCGGACCACGCATGACCAGCGGCACCAAAACGGTACAGGTTTGTGTCAAAGAGCATCGGATACATTTGAAACTCCGAACAAAATTCGTTTTCTAACGTTTCTCTTTCCTCTCACCCTAGCACAACTATGTTCAGAGTTATTGCTACAAAATCCTTTGATGTGGAAGGACCGCGGATTGTTTCAATCAAACGTACATTTTAAAATAATTGTATATTTTATCTACGTATGACGACTTCGAAAGAACTTTGCTACTTTTTGTCCTACGTGCTCCAAATTTTGAGGACACTGTCTAGCAAAAAGGTGGATAGGTACATATCAGGCGTCAAGGCATTCTAATGACAATCACAACCTCTCCTGTTGCAACAGGTGTTTTCTCTTTGGAAGTCGTACCTGATGGGAGTTCTTAAGTTCATAGCGTTAACGAAAACTTTGTCAAATCTGGTGAATCAGCCGCTACCTCCCTCTATTCTCCATCCCCAGGCAACGCTTCACGCCAAGGCTCCAGTTCAGATGCAATAGTGATAACGGTTAATGAAGATAGTGTTCCTCCGGTTTCAACGCACTCGACTTCCGGTGGCCATGAAAACGAAGAGTCGCTGCTATCATTTGGTAAGTTGGCAACCTTAGTGAAACTCGCTTAAGTCATCCTGAGTCGGCCATTTCTACGGCATCGGAAAATTTGATCATCTTGACGGAGCCTTAGTATCACTCTAGATAGCAGCCAGTCTCAAAACCCTTGACGAATTCCAGTTCCAAAGGTTTACTCAATCGTTGGTTGCTAACCGACCAACCGTAGAGCACACATCCTCAAGTGATTTGTAATGAAGACAGTCGTTTGCTTAATCGCTGAATAATGCCGTTGATTTTGGTTTATGCTCTGCTCTGTACGGCCGGGTTTATAGATGTCAGCGACAGTGAATATCAGTGACCATCACAAAAAGACTGAACCTTACCATGGTTTGACGGTTTGTGTGCCTCCACGGCCCATTGAGTCATATCGAGGAGTCGCCATGCAACACTTGTGGCGTCTCATGCCAGATCGTTTAATAGTTACAGGTCTGACCAACACAATGTCTCGGCCCTCTGGGTTGGAGGTTGGAACATGTTTCGCCACTTGTTCCATGAAAATCGTAATCCACATGCATTTTCCGCCTAACACCGTTGCCTTGCACACAAGCTTTTGAACCAAAGGCTTTGGTCGTGGACACTAATCGCCATCATGTGTAGGTTTAGGCTCCCTAACAGTATCCCAGCTCACGTACAACCATAAACTGATACAGCAGCAAAGAATCAGTGTTGAACACTGATGTTATGCTGTTGATGATGATGATTATGATGAATGAGGAAGCTAACCACGCTTGTTCGTCATGGTGTCCATCAAAAATGCCAATCCATGTATCTTTTTGGGCATAGATTGTCATTACTTTCCTATTTGACCACATTTCTCCATCAAACGGTAATATTATTTCTGGCTGTTCAACTTTGCTTTCCCATCTCACACGTGTGTAGCTCGCAAACTGCGCCCACCAATGTTTGCTTACTGCTGAAAAGCCTGATACCCTTATTGTCGAACGTGCCCCTAGTGATCCAGAGGAGAAACTTGGAGGTTAGGGAATATTTCAAGCATCTTAGAGGTTGTATTGTTACATGAGTTTTGCGTAGCAGGTGACTCGTTGCATGAATTTTGGGTCAAATTTCGGTGGCACGGTGGAACAACCTTAGCTTTGAGGACTTGTCTGGACGAGACCACCTCGTGTTTTTTGTGTGGTTATGACAGTTGATATCTCAGAAACTTTGTTCGTTGAGACAGTTGCCAACGTATCAACAATTATATTAGAAAAGGCACATTGGGTGATATAACAAAGGTCCCAATCGAATTACAGTTCCAGCGCCATAGACTGCAGTTGCTTGTTGTGTATGCCGAATCATTGCCTGTCAGGAACAATCGCTGCTTTCCTTGCCTGACCCAGATAGGCACCAGAAGTGTGGTGAAAACTCTATTGCATGACAAAAGGGTGTGAAGACGGTCCCGAGACGTATGGATATGGTCTGTGTGAATCGCCTTCCAAGCCATCCTTTAACCTCGCTAAATACGCCCCGATCTGTCACTGGCGGTGTTCCTTTTAGTGTCTACCCGAATCTTCTAAACGATTATTGGAGATGCAGATACCTCAGAATATCTGAGATAAGCTAGCGTCAGGCTCTTTTTTCATTTCTATTCTTTCAGTGCTAAATTTGTATGCCAGTGGGAGGCTTGGATTTAACAGTAATGATGTTTTCTTGATATTGATCAGTTAGGACGGAATTGGTTGTGCTATATACCTTTCGACAATTTGTTTCGAATCACGTCATTGGCGTTTTCGTCCAGTTCGTTCATGAACGTAAAATTGGAATTCCCAACTCACCTCTTCAGTGCTGCTATGATATGAAGCTTACTAGCTTACTTATTCAGGTGCTCCCTTTTCCGAACATGCTGATTAAGTAAGTAGTCATATGTTTATTTAGTTAATTCCCTAATCTAGTCTATGCGCAGTTCTCACATTTTTATGATGATTGTTTTCTTTCTGATCCGTATTATTTCACTGTGTCTACAGGAAACTCTGCGAGCCTCAACTCTGGAGTTCAGCAGCGACTTGATAACTTTGGAGCAGCTCGGCCTCCATCTTCTATCCAAACCTGCATTGCACCTTCTAGTCCAACTAGTATGGGCCCACGTACACCTTTATGCGTTCGTTGTCCGTCTCAGTCTTCGTCAGCGGTCTATCGATTCCATCCTAGTATAACGAACCAGGTAATTTTCTTCTCCGCTCAGCACGCAGTGTGTCGCCGTCTTAGCTGAAGGGATGCAGTAATCTCTTCGGAGATTGTCAGAACTTACCGTGTTAAATAATATTTTGTCCCAAGCAGTTAAAGTGTTACTTACGCTGCTGTGTACTCACCCTTTCCATTCGGTGTTTGCTGTTCACTACCAACCAGGACTACCTCGTCATCATCTAGTGTAGTGTCTTTCTGATACGGTACTGTTCACCCCTGTAAATTTCCCTATTGCATCGCCGTCACGTAGATGACTCTTCCCAAATCTGGAGGCACTTTCTAATTCCCTAATTGGCCGGCTCATCCCAAAGAGCAAACACCACTGATAAATTCATCTACCATTAGTCGAAGTTTATCACTCATTAGTTAGGCAATAATAAAGTGGCTGTCACTGCTGCTACATAATTCACGGTGATAGTAAGCTTTTCTTCATTTGGCTTGGTTGGACAAACATGTCACGCAGTTACAATTAAAATTGAGGGTACCAAAACAACAAAATATATCTGCGAGCCCTCACCAACTAATTGTAAAACTAAACGACGTCTACCTATTACAATTCCCTGCTTTTGGCTTTTATCAGATGATGAGTGTCAAATTGACGGCCATTACCTGCGGCCTGAGGACAGTCAAAGTGTTCACTCTGACCAACGTAAAACATTTCGTCCATTTTCGGTAGGGGCTATTGGGAATGCTGAAGCATCAATCGCATGCAATAGGCGTCGGTTTATATTAACTACTTTTCCCACGAAACAACATCTCAATCGACGGAACATTTATGTAACCCGGAAGGTGTTTCCACGCTCGTGTATTAGTGTATCCCGGTCAGTCATTCACTCATTCTGTCAGGTAGCAAGGCATGAAAGCAGACAGATAGACAGTTCCTCATCTGTGTGAATTATTCCGATGAAATTGTGCCCTGTTTTTTTACTACTTATTTCATTTCCTGGTTCGTTTTTAGCTTCCCCTTCCAAATTCGGCGGATAACTTGCACGGTGCTTCAATGAGCAACTTGATTGCAGCCTGTCGGACGGCAAACGCTCAGCAGTGTATGACGACCACTTGTAATGAGCTCGGGAATGTTAGTCGAAATTCTCCTGACTCGCTTGGATTTGCTGTAAGTCGCCCCTCAAACCGCCCCGGTCCTCAGGCGGACGAAGCTACTGTAGTTGCAGCCGCCGCCGTGGCGTCTGCCGCTGCACATGCGGTTGCTGCGGCTGCACAGGCTGTTTCTGCTGCAGTTCAACAACGCCATTGTTCAGAGGTCACCTACCCAGCTGCACCGATTCAACCTGTACCACGTTCGTCTGTTGAACGAACTTTCATGAATCAATGGACTTCTCCGCAATTACCTTTCTCTGCTGCCACACCATCCTCGGATTGCTGTGGACTCCATTCCGTTCTTAATGCGCACTCCTCCGTTCAGCATACCGCAACCATCCCGTCAGCGCTAGTAGCCAATTTTGCCATTGAGCAAGGATCCTCATCACTGGCCGTTCAACCTCTGAGTGTCCCTCTGATTGGTGCTCAACCCATTGCCCCCGTTTCGGGTTCGTTCATTTTTTCATTTTTTTTTGGTTCATGTATTCTGTAGTCTGCTACTCATTTTCAGCTTTTCACAAATTCATCCCGCTCATATTAAACTTTTTGAAGTTGGAGGCTTACATTTAAAGTGTTCGGGTTCACATTTTATCAGTTTATCAGTTTCAGTAAGGTGTTTGTTCAGTTTTTTCATCTGGCAACGCTATGTGTTAAGTTAGTGCATATATTACTAACTGGAGAGGAACTGCTACAGCCAGTACTTTGCGACAACTAGATTGATAAGCAGGTTCTCCGTAGTTCCGTCAGATTCAAAAGCGGCGGATGTTATATTGATGTTGAGATAACCCCTTTCACGTTGAGGATCGGATAGTATGTGAGGTTCTTGCGTAGAAACAACGTGGATCGACGCTTTATCTGGCGGAGCTGTTTAGTGTTGTTTTGAGTTTCATGGGTTTGAACGCTCTCACATTCAGATAGTCGAATTTTCTGAAGAAAACTCATGGAATGGGAATGGAACGGGTTACCATTTCCACCCAATTCCGAATACAGCTTGGCCTTCCTAGACATCTTGTGTGAATGGGGCGAATTATTCATAGAAAAGTACACACTCGTCTTGTCTCACGATCTCTCAGGCGTAGAGTTTGTCTTCCTAATTGAGGAAATCTGTCGATTTACGTCTACTTTTATCAGCATCTGTTTGAGGTTGCGGTTGAACCTCAGCTTACCTAATGTTGACCACTGGTTCCATAGATAGGCAGTGTGATATACCTGGTGTGCCAGCCAGATATTCCAGGTCGGCCGATTGTTCACGACTTAGTAAAGCGATCCACACACCCCTCATTCGACCTTCCCTTCAAGACATATGTTTCGTCCCCGGCCAAACCAATAGTACACAGAGTCGATGACGCCGTCGGGGGAAAGGACGTGAGTTTTAAGTATCGTGTTTGAAACAGGTTTTCATTGTGTCAGTAAGGCCAGTGTATCCCAGGAAGCGAATTCACTCACTTCCCGACTATCGAGAAACTGCGGCTAATTCGACTATTATTGTGAGCCCGTGTACGGTTAGTGGTGATTTTGTAAGTCAATGGGGATCGATTGATTCAGCACTGCCCATTCGTCTGTTTTATGGAAGAACTTGACCCCCAGTTTGAAAAAATCATTAAAGTATAAGAATGCCTTAGAATCAACTAAGTCAAATATCCATTAGTGGGTCAACCATGAGATTTTCGTTTGCTGTTGCACTATGCTCTTACCTCATATGAGAAGTTTAAAGACACGTGACGCTCATTCTATTTAACAAGATCTGAGCCGAGTTTGTTCCGGAACTCGTAAATGTTCTTACCATCGTTTACCTAGTTTTACTCTCTCCCTTTAAGCAGTTAATCATTTTTATCAGGTGCACTTTGTTGATTTCACTTTTTATACAGATCTCAATCGTCCCATTCGGAATACGACCGAATTCGGAACTTCAAATAACATATCACTTCTTGGAGTACGCTCAGGTTCACAGTCTGATCGTCTATGGCTAACTTCGGAAGCTCCTAATGGGATTCATTGCGCTTCTTCACAACCTGCGTCATTCCCTAATGTCACTGTAGCAACTCAGGCTGCGCACGTTGTGGCAGCCGCTGCTGCCGCACAGGTTGCAGCTGCAGTTGCCACATCAGCTCCTGTGTCTTTCTTATCGGGCAATCTGACCACTGATGTCCAAATTAATAATATGCTTACTCATGTGCCTCTGATTCGGTCACATTTGGCTCCTGCGAATCTTTTGACTACAGCTCATCCAGTACGGTTTAGTAGCTCGTTGCTCGCCGTACCCTCCACACAATCAGCTGAGGCCGATTTCTTCTCAGTTCCTCAGGACGTGGCTTCGGTGGCCGCTGCGGCGGCTGTGGCAGCTGCAGCCAGTCGTGCATCAACTCTGGCCAATACCGCCTCTGCTTTCCAGCTTGCTACTGCTTCAGATGGCACTGCTCGATTTATCAACGTAGCTCAGCCAGTTGGACCAGATCGTTCGTTTGCACATTCTCTGCTAATTCCTCAGATATCCATGGCACCTCAGATAACATCAGTTTCTGTGCTTCCGGTTCATTCTGCACCGCCTATCGTGGCAACCCGAACGGCCTTGTCCACCACACGTGATATACAAACGCTGTTTCAGTTCTTGCGGTTGATCAATCAGAGACAAGTAAGCTCATTACTTTGTTTCCTGTGGTTGGCCAGTTTGCTTCTGAGTCTGCCAGTACATTTTTCAAAGAACGCAGTCTAGCAGTCGACTAGCTGTTTTTAGCATACACTTATTTTTGTTCCATGTTAAGCCGTTTTCCCTGTTAACCAACACCGATTGCTGCTTTCAGAATGGTATCTGTGTATTTATGCCCCGTCCCATTTAAGTTTTCAGTCCTGTCATCCAGTCACCAGTTCTGAAACACCGCTCGTTTTTCTTGAGCGATTCGCTTTGTACGTTGACCCCCATAACTAGTTATTTAGAGGATATCTGTGTATGGTTTTGCATCCTAAACGTATTATGCTGCAGATACCTCAGCGAGGGAGCCTTTTCTGGTTTTGAAACGTCTCGCGCACCCAGCGGTGGTGCTCTCCTGCTGGTACACACTTGATTATTGCTCTATGGAACATCCTACTTCTACTTCACAGTACGTCCAACCTGGGGACAGGTTGTCGTTGTCTTTGGACACCACCCTCCACTTACCATCGTCACCATCATCAGCGTTGAACATCCGTACTTCACTGTCCCACAGTGAAAAGGGACAAACTAGTTTCGTGGGGCTCTCAGTTCCAATGTGCCACTTCTAACACTGTCACACTAGTTGGATAAAAATAGACAGCATGAGTGCTATAAGCATCGGTTTGTAGCAGTATAAATATAAGTCTTCACAGCAGGGTATCATCAACGACATCTAGTCTTTTCGTAAGCCTCATTATGCCATTCTGACGGCTGTTTTATTACCAACATTCTTGTTTCTGACACTGAATTCGGCCGATAGCTCGTCGTACGTGACTGCCAGAACCACTGTTGATTCTTACCACATTACCAACACCCGCTTTCTAATAACTCGGTTACGCAGGAGCTGATACCGTCTAATACTAGCGCTATTTCCTAGTTGATATGCAAACCACGAACCGAACTTCTTCAGTGAATTCGTCACATGATTCATGTGGCGCCACTTCCTATTTACTCACAACAACACACCATGAGCAAATTTTCCATCATCGTGACAAAATTACGTGACCATCCTGTTTGTCCAAACGCGGCTTTTTAAGCGACAATCACATATCCCCATAGCATGTTCTTCGAACAGTTCGATACAAAAAGTTATTCGGAACCCTATTTTTGATCCCTTCCTGGCTCGTATAATCGAGAATACTGTTCGATTCAGTGGGCATGTTGTAATAGATAGTGAAGTCAATATTTTACGGATCGTGGTCAATGAACATTCATAAATTGGCATATAAAATCACCGGTGAGCGCAATCTTCGCGAGTTTGGTGTCATAGAGTCAGTTCATCACATTTATATTTCCGTCTTTTCATGCAGTAGAACACAATGTAAGAGACGGGGTAAGCTGCAGGATTCTCATTGTACCCATGATTCAATGACTGGAACACGTGGAATTGATGAGGTAGACTCAGCACTCATGAAACTCGGCAACTCACTGCCTGGGCAGAGAACTGTTGAACGTGCAGCGAAAACCTAGGGCATCCTGCTGATTTAGTCGGGAAAGAATGACGTTNAAAGCTAGGTCATCCTGCTGAATTAGTCGGGAAAGAATGACGTTAAGTGAGCATATGTTTGGTTTTGTTTGTTGGTGGCGCACATACCACTTGATCATCTAAGCCGATCTTATAATGTTTTAGGAGGGGACACTGCGGGAGGTTTCGTTGGCTACCCTTACCCACGAGACCGAAATATGAAGTACGCAATCTGCTGAAAGCCAGTGAGTACAGTTGCAGTTCATGCATCACTTAGTCAGTAGAACACCATCCGGGCTGCCCGGGTGACGTCCGGTAAGCGCCGATCCGTATTAAGATTCGGACCCAATGGAGATGTATGTATCATCCTTCTAAACCATTTGGAGGCCGGCGATAGCCTCTCGAACCGACCCATCTTCCGGCGAGTTAGCACATAGGAGCTGTTCGGACTCCAATCCCGTTTAACCTTGTATCTCAAGTCAATGACTTGGGTTGCAGGTCGGTCACTTCGTCCTTGGGCACGATGTTGTCTCAGGGCATAAAGATGGATTAACACATTCATTTAAAAAAGTTTCAATAATAAGCGGATTTACTGATTCGTATCACCTGAGAGACGCCTGAAACAGCTACGTGGACCTATCTTAGTTATCAGACCACCGTAGTGACAAGACCAGGATAATACTTTGGTCACAAGTATGCCTAGTGGTCTTCATTCCTCGTTGTCACGCATGGAACAACCTTTGTAGCGTCGAAAACTTTATTTTAAACTCGAAACAATCCCGAATCCTCAGAAGACTGTCAATGCGCCCAAACGGGCATTTCTAGGTCCCCATTGGCATTTCCTTAATCCTTTATAGTATATTTGGTTTTGGTTTTGGTTCCCATCGTCAACGTTCAACGTGTCCTCGAACTGTCTATTAGAACGCACTGCCTTCTGCTTCATTCCCCAGCTCGTACAAACGTGAACCCCTTAATAAACTGCGTGCATCTAATAACGTATATTGTTGTTTTTGCTACGACTCGGCGTCTTTGATTCCAGTGTATAATTGGTGAATCGGATAATGAAACAGAGGATACCACTTTCGTTCAACAAGCTGGGTAAACTATATTCAACAATTACATTTTTTTCCAGTAGCTCGTTTGTGTTACTTCGCCGTTGGCGGAATGAATATGAAGACAGTTTCTCTCCTACTCACTTTATGTGCTTACTTTCCACCAAGGACCCATACTCCTTGCCGTATTACCCGTCTGCTATGACAGCGACTGCCGGGGAGTCGAATGCCAGTGTCGTTGTGAGTGCCTCAATGGGTGGTGCTAATGGTAGTCGTGTCGCTTCTGCCGTGACTCCACCTCTTGTGCCTCATCATTCGACCGGAGCTCAACACGCAGCGGTTGCAACGGTCGTTGGACCGACTTCGTGGCAACAACCGACGCGCTCCCCAGGTTTCGTATTGTCTCGTCCGGCGGCACCGATCCACACTGAGGCATCAAACGTTCAGCCTACCGGCTCAGCAGCAGTAGCCTTGGCAGCAGTTGCAATGGCTGCGGCCGCGGCTCTGCAGCAACAAACACACCGCCACATTCCAGCTAATGTCATGTCCATGCTTTCAGCTACCTCGGCAGCCCCAACGCCATCCATACCCGTGCCCATCCTTCACGCCCATTTGTACTATCCAACAACGGTGGCGGCGGTGCGGTCAGTGCCTGTCACTCAAGTTCCGCCTTGTCATCATTCCCATCATGGATCGTTTGCTGCAGCTCATCAGCACGCGACTTACCATCGCCAGACTGTTCCGTCTCCATTTACCGCATCGCCCTCCCCAGCGGTACCACCATCACCCTACCCCACTAGTCTTTTGCCGTTCTTTGTTACCGTCCCAGCCTCCCCCACACGAAATTCGACCGACATCCCAGATTTGTCATCAACCCTAATTGCCCAGTTGGCGCCTAATCATCAGACGGCACCTCCTTCAGCTCCGATGCTCCCACCGGACCCTAGTTCTGCGGCTACTGCCGCGGCAGCGGCCGTAGCAGCAGCTGCTGCAGCTGCAGCTGCCAGCGTTGACACGCTGTATCAGTTAGCCGTGCAGTTAGAATCTAGTGGACGCCGCGGACTCACAAAGGAGGAATTGGATACTCTTCCTGTTCGATCCTACGGCCAGATCCAGGAATCACCTACTCAGCTTGAAAACACCAAGGATTGCGTAGCTGAAACTGATGATCGTTGTATGATCTGTCTGGATGATTATGAATCGAAGGACCTATTACGTGCAATGCGATGCCGACACGAATTTCACGCGAAATGTGTTGACAAATGGTTGAAGGTACGTTCACTTGAACACCCTTGGATGATAGGTACTCTCGTATATTCGGTTGTATTTTTAGCCGTTAACCGGGTATCTGGGTATGTTGCGTCTGGTCGTCACAGGCCCTGCCGACCGATACAGAAAGTTCGCGTTTAAGAAAGCATCTATAGAGTGCCGGAAACGAAACCAGTAGACAAATTTAGGAAGTTCAGTTGATTGTTTGAGCATAAGAACGCCAGTTATTTAGTGATTTGGCCATGCCGTCTCGAACCAATGGCTGGGCAGGCCTCTACTTACCCTCATGAAAACCGGCATACACCAATTGACGAAGACGTTTGGCCATACCTTTGGTACTTTTTTAGTCTATAGCCTGCTCAACTATGGTTTTCCTCCCCCATTCCAAATGGAGCTCGTAAGGTGTCTGGGTGAACGTACACAGCTAACGGAAGTGTAGTCGCACCACATTTTTAGTCGAGCGCCCATTGGAAAACTTTCCAGATGCCGTACGACATGTATCAGAGGTGTGGTTAAGTTGGCCCACCACACGTGTGCGATTCTGTTTAGACATCGTAGTTTCATCGGAAAACAAGTGTTCGCGCCATAATTTAGTGACTTTGGGTTTGACGAGCCAGTGAACGCTAATCGAGTCTGGGAAGACACGTTCTCTCTATATTTTCTTAGCGAGCTATGGGTAATCAGGTGTTGTTCTTACGCTTTATTACCTCATAAACCCCACATAATTTAGCTCTTCGATGTTTTTCTTTGGACCTTCGGGTTATTCCATCACGTTTTCACTGCGCGATATATTTTTAAATGGGACCTTCCTTACTACTTTAGTACTACTAAAACTAAGTGACCTCACTGAGTGCGGATTTGCTGTTCGTCTCGATGGCGTTGCTTCCACTGATGGTGATGATTTCCGTATACTGAACTCGTTGGTGTTTAAATCCCACTCTGCAATGTGCACAGTATTTCAATGAACCCTTGGACACTTACGAACATAAAGGTTATACGATCGAACTACGCCCGACCAAACACACGTCTCTTGCTAGCTATCCTATCTCTGCACGCGTGAATAGACTATTTCACCATTCGGCACAATGATCGATGGGCAGATTGTGACCAACCATCTGGTGCAGTGGCATATCGTGGCCTGCTGTTATGATGTGTGTTTGTGCAGCTGTAGATTGGCGTGTGTGTAAGAAGTTAAGATCACTGTGGAACGATACAGTCTTCTGAGCTAGACACCGTTCAAGTCGTTGTTGGTATCACCACCATTTGTAGCCCAGTGTTACCGCTTTGACCTCGAATGTTGCTAATTTTCTTCTGTTACCCTGTCTGACGCATTTGGATGCCACTGCTCGTTTCGGTCTGTTTAAGCCTATGATACTTTTCGCCAGCTCTAAGTACCTACTTAAGTCCACCGTCTGTAGCTCTGTCCCACGGAACTCGCTTTACTCCTTATACAAATTAACACATTCCAGTGGTAGAGCGTGCGATCTATAAACGAGCAGCGCTCATCAGTTGGAATTCAGGATTTTCAGCCTTCTATCGCTTGTGACCGTTTTTCGATAAACTTTTATCTCGTTCACCCAGTGTTTTATCTAAAACGGATAACCTCCAACGTTAATTAATCTGACGTCATTTGCTAAAGTTCAAACAGCACTGTAGCACCAGTCGAACAACGATCCAGCGAGGTAACCTCCGGTCACAACTCCAACCAGATTTGTTTTGAGAGCTATCCCAATCGGAACTTCACTTTCCCCGTTACTTTCAAGGACCGTCTTTGTAGCCCGTAGATCGGAATACAAAACAGTAGCCTAATTATGTTCCGCCGCTGCTGAAAATTATTTGTACAAATGCGGTGGTCCTTTCAAATGAAGTTTCACTCGCTGTTTTATGGACCGTTTTGTAGCGCATTCTGTTCAGGCTAGTAGCTTATGTATTCTTGGTCGATTTGCAATATATTAGTGATGCCGGAAAATTGATTGGCTGTCACTTTGTTCGCGGAGCCTGGGAATCTTTACACACCCGTATGCAGTAGGTGCTCTAACACATCCCCCATGAGAGCTCCAAGTGTCCATAGCGCCAACTTACTGACCGGAAGGTCCATGGTTCGAACCCGACCTCTACCTCTCGACATTCCCCTGTCTAGGCTCGGGCAACCTGGTATTATCCGAGCCCTCGTGCTTCCCTCGGATAGCACGGCAGTTAGGCGAAAGGGTGTCACAGCTGAGCGATTTTTATGAGAACTCTTTCTCTAACTAATACAACTCCGTTCTGGCGTCGTGACACTTGGCTTAGAAATGTTTCCGCCAACTGTCAACAGGAACTACATCAGGTATCTTTAAAGACTGAATTTCCCCACTAACAAAAACTAAGATGCACAACGTATACATATAGGTTTCTGATACTCGGATTCCAGAAAGGTAGCTTCAGTTTCAGATAAGTCATGACATGATTTTTGTTTGTCACACAGTTACTACATAAGAAGAAGTGAAAATATATCAGATCTCACATCACTGAGTGAAATAGTTTTCCTTTTTTTCACATGTCCCTTCGAAGGAGTAACCGGTTGAGCAAAATTGCGTGCGACACTTGCCCGTGTTCAACATTATTCGTTACAGACGAGATGACAACGATGCAGAGTCAGAGTGGTAGGAAGGCCATCAAGTTTCCTGAATGGCACCGACCGATAGCTCGTCAACCTCGATAGAAATCCTGAGTTGAGTTACAATACCCATATTAGTGAGCAGACACACAATGCCTATGTCCTGTAGAACCGGTCTGGGAAATTGCGTGGACCATAATGCCTGGTGTAGCAGATATTTGTAGTTTACGTGTATGTGAGAGGGTTGCTCTAACCCAATGCTAGGAAACGTGTGAATACTACTTCAGGATGTTAAACTCCAACACGATGAGTTCTTCCTATGTCATCAGAAATTTGCCCAAATCTGCAACCATGTTCAGTGGAATCGCGTACGAAATTTAACGCGAATCTCTGATGCCTTTCGGAGTTAATTTTGTGGAGTTGTGGGGGACCCCATACGTATAGTGTTTATTTGTGCGGTTGTCCTGCATTTTGCCGTGAATGATTAAACTAACCGTTAGTAGCACAACAGCCTCTCGGTCTAGTTTCTCTGAGGCGACAGGTTACTTAGATGTGTAGTGACCGATATTCAGAGATCAGTATTTTCGTGTTGATGGCTTTTTCCGGTAGTTCAGTGGAGCCGGATAAGTTAGACACCTAAACATTAGTATCAACGGAGACACACCAGATACATCTACTAAACAGAGAGCAACAATATACGGAAGGTGCTTCATCAAGCAGTCAACGGTTGCCTCGTACCGGACTATTTGGCGTATAAACACCGTTATTTTGGTCGTTGCTTACCAGTCCGAGATGTGCCAGAAGCAGGTTGAATAGTCTTCAGCAGGGTGCAGTGTGATGGTAGTGGAAGGTGAATATACTCCATCGAACGCTGACAACGAATAGAGTGAAGCCAACAGAAGTTGGGACGCCAGTCAGCCGTATAGCTTAAAAGTTCAGCCCAGCCGTCACAGGTTGGCGGGGAAACATCTGAAGTCAAGTGAATTCGGATTAGGAACCCACTTCCATATCGTAATTGATCAACTGCAACACACCAAACCAGTGGTTTTCCCACTTCACAAGGCAACAGGCTCGAAATTATTTTTATTCCGGTCTAATTTGTCCTGAGACAGTGATACTACTAGGGCAGTTGTCTTATGGAGTCTTTCTGTCCTTCTGATGCTCCCCATACATTACCCATACATATATGCATATCGAGCCGTTTCCCTTCTCTTTTCTCCAGACCAAACGCACTTGCCCACTGTGTCGCGCGGATGCTTTTGACGGAACTCAACGTAAAGAGGAACTTTTCTGATCGGAATTCTCCGTGATTTATCCCTCATAACAACGGTTCTCTCCTTATTCCGGAGGACGAGGGTTCAGGCCATATTTATTTGCATCACTCCAGTTCCTTATTACGGACTTTAGTTTTTATAGGCGTTGATTTGGCAAACCCCCCATTTGTCCGTCCTCTTCGTTTGTCCGGTGCTGACTGTTCTTTTATTATCATGCCCTCTTTTGTCTTACTCTCATCGACCGAATTTATTTGGCTTATTAGCAAGCTATTCGTCTCTCTCGTGGCTGTCGATTTTGCTATCCTTCTGTTGTTCCGACTGAATCCGTTAACTTTATTTACTAGCTGATGAGAATTCTCTGTGTGTGGCGCCCAATGTCTCTCTCCTCTCTCTCCGTCGGACCGCCTGATGTAATCGTACAGTACTCTGTTTATCTCTCTCTCACTCGTTTTGATGCTTGTTCACTTCATACTTCTGATATTCAGGACAGCATACAACTAAAATACTTTGTATAGCATGTCCTTACCTTATGCTAAAACGCATGTGTCTCAACGCTTTTCAGTCAATGTTACTTATGGTTGTATCGTTGAACATGGTCAACATCGGGCTCCCAACTAACTAAAGGCTTGTCAATTAACTTGCCTCCGGTGTATTATGGTACCTAGTGTACCAAGTGTTATCGAGGCCATGCGCTCATCCTCGAAGGAAGATAGTCAAGCTAGAAATTATGCTCCCAAAACGAAGTGACTACTTAATTTACGCAAACTGTTGCGGTAGCTTTAATGAATTCTTCGAAGCGTACAATATGGGTAAAGCTGTTGCGTCTAAAACAAGCTAATTTTATATTGCGGGCACTATATTTTCCAGTGAGTGGTGCGCAGGAATGGATTTGCTTTGAATGGTCTTCCAATTCCGGGGTTCGTCAATGATCATGAAAGATATTCCCTAGACAGGTACGACATCTGACCCGGTGGATTGATAAATAGTGGTACGTAGTTTATCATTGTCGGCAAAAGGACGCGGCAAATTACATCCAGTTTTTAGACACAATAGCACTACTAGCGGACCGAATTGCCAGAATTACGGTTTGCATTTTGTTGAGGCCATCTGAAGACAGCGAAAATATAATTTGAACCAACTGGCTTAAAAGAGTTGAAACTGAATGATAGGCGCAGCAAAATAATGGGAACTTTTCAGCATGACGTCCAAGTAAGGGAGTGGTTGTTGGTGTATTCTCACCAATCCCCTCAAAACCTCGATAAACTGCTACTATCGAAAGGGGGAAATCCATTCGCTGCGAAGTAATTTAGTAGCAAACATGAACTAAGCACTTAGAAGCCATTAGACACGAAAGTAAAAACTTCCTCTTCACAGAGTTGTTGAAAACTGAAAATTCTCCAGCGTCCTGAAATTTTCGCGGACATTCATTGTCTAACAGAAAATAGGGAACGAACGCTGCAAAGCGACTCCTCAGATTCCGTAATAAAGTACACCTATTAGATGCAAGGGATGTGTTAGGCAGGAATCCACACGAATACCGCTATACCGCACGTCTTCAGGCGCGGCTACGGCCGATAAGCCTAGCCCGCACGAGACTGGCCGAGAATTCGGGACGCTTGCCGTTCCGGCATCAAGGCGAGATCTGATTGGTCGAGAATCTGAACCCAACAGCCAATCATGACCCAGTATTGGCCAAATGCCGGTTGCCAATGGCGCACCCAGAACGCGTCAGAAAATCCAGAAAGTTATAAACGCCTACGCTATATATACGAAGCGCTGTACAACTGTTCCTCACTTCATTTTGGGCATTAATAGACCTTGTGCACCTTTGGTGATTGTTTTGACGTGAACGCCAGCTTGGGAGGCTCAGACAGAGAACTAAGCTGAGGAAAATACCGTTACTACAGGTAGAGCTTGGACATCAGACTACAAACTACTCGCATGCTCCATCAGTGGTATACAACGTCACACCTGTAGGTGTTATTGTTTGCGCCGCCTGCAGTCAGCCTGCACTTTCGTGGCCCTTTCTTTGTAATAGTCTATTGTGACGATTCGCCCCTCCATTTTCGGTTAAATTCTGGCTCTTGACTGGAGGCAACGTCCTTCTAGTATAACCAGCCTTGGGAAGGGGGGTAGCATATTGTATGAACATACGGTGGATGAAATGTTATCAGTTTGCTACGGCCGTTGCTTTGGTAACAAACTTGGAAGACAAAAAGTTATGCCGGTATAACCGCCCATCCGATTATCTGTTAGTCCATGTGCACCTGACGGTCTTTATTCCCTGTCTTCGTTGGCCTAAACAAATGCATAACACTTGTCGACCAACACCGCATGTGTGAAGTTCCGAAGGTCTCAGTCCGTTTGGTCTGCATGTTTTTTTTCAAAGCATGCGGAGAATACTACCTGTTTAAGGCCAGTTCGATGAGTGAGCGAATCAGCTCTAGGCGAGCATGAAGTTAATTTAAACGGTTGCGCTGCCGTGACTACTTATTCAGGAAGCACATTATTACTTCCAACAACCCACTCACATCGGATTGAGGGACAGTAAATTGACAGGATTCTGGAAAATCCGAGATTGCTCACACGGAAATCGATACTTCTGAAGCTATGGTATTCGTGAGCGGTACACTTCACGAAAACAGTGGAATGCACGCCTGGGTAGTGAGATTGTGCTCGCGCCAGAATGTGAACAAGTGAAATTCCCCGTTTGTTTAGTCCATGTTAGTGTAGAACTGAATGACTTACACGAGGCTTTCATGGTATGGACCGAGTCAAAAGGGAATAACATCAAGGTTACTATTGAGTTAAGAAATACATGGTCAATATCGTGAATAAAATCATATGTTGGAGAAAGCTGTAAACTTCAAACGGCCCAACGTTTACAGTATCATGGCAAAGTGCCTCGCTTCATTCATGGATTTTGTCACTTACAAAAAGCGTGTTTTATCAACCTTATTGGCTAAAACGACAAAACTTCATACTCTGTATCCTTGCTATCAGTCGGAGACAATGCCGAGCAACCCACAAAGAGCAGCTGTTTGACTGCTTGTTTATTGTCACGGTCGCTTAGACCTTTATCCGTGATAAAAAACACCCATCACTGTACACTCGTTTACTCTTCACCCTTCGGTGAATTCTGACTGACCTGTGAGGTGTTCGATAAATGGTTAGCTAGGTCATTCTGGGTTTTGCATCTCTCCGTGTTATAGGCACCGTATTTATGATGAAGTTACGCACAGTCCAACCTCAGTTAGGTCTATGACACCAGAGGTTCAGCTTGTTCTCTCGTTGTCTGATAGCAAAATGAGTGACGGGTCGATAAGTTATGTTATTCTGAACCACCACGTGTTGACTAGACAAAGTAAGGAGAACCACACAGGTGGGATCAGGCAAGCAAGCAATACTGTCACCAAAAAGGTAAACAATCTGAAAGTGGCGAGTTGTGCGACTGGTGGAATCCCATTGGTGATATGGCTGGGTTTCATTGAGATAACAACGGTTTGACGAAAGATCTATGGATCACATTAACACAGCATTCAATATTTGGATAAGCGTGGGCTTGCAGTTATAAAGTATGTGCAGTGATATGAGAAGGCTGGATCTCTAGCTTGCCGATGTGCGCGTGCAGATTAAAACAACTGTCTTTACCTTCACTCCCTCCAGAAATCTACTGCTAACAGACCTACCGAGATCACACTATTCCTTGTTGATGGACGATAGCCCTTTAACGACGGACCATAAGTGTATTTTATGCTCTCTGTCAGTTACACGACAAATAAAAAACGAGGAAAGGAACATCATAAACCAGAGATTCAGCTGGGTTGCAGATGAGTCTCGTCAAAACCGAATTGGTATGCAAAGGAATTGTATAAATCGGAGAAGTCTATTTGTTACCTGGTTTGTTTACGTAACATGTCTAATCTACCTGCCTACAGCTTTTGACCGTTGGTGAATTTCAAGTCTCAGGTTATTGAGGAGGGAAGGGCGAAAAATTGTCAACTCCTCTAGTGGGAGACGCATAGCACTGGCAGTCAGATAAATTCGTTCTGTTCTTGACAGTGCTCTTCACGGGTCTGTGCACTTTCTGCTTTTAAACATCATAATTCGAAGAGAGTTTGGCAGCTGGAACATTTGTGTGGTTACAGAACTCAAGTAGACGTAAATTCTGACTGGACGAAATGGAACCAGGTGCAGAATATTGTTCATCGTTAGATCAATTTCATCCAGTGCTGGATTAGCCAGCCGCCGCAGTCAGCTAAGGGCAAATGTGTGATACACTACACTACTCACTAGTAGACAAGTTTTGTCCCCATTATCCATAGGTCTCACGCAATAAGTCCTCCCATTATGGTCTCTTTTTAAGGCGAACTGTTAGGCTCTGCTAAGGGCCCAATGAGATAGAAACTCAAGTCTACAGTTCCCCCGTTTGGTATGGACTCACCAGAATAATTGTGCCAACATGGGGGGACGACTGGTCAAACGAGAGTGAAGTGAGCGTGAATTCTGCGCACTCCGCAGCCACTTACAACTAAACTGACCTTTCGCTACCGAAACTACCTCCGTCAAATGATCCTATGCTGACATACATGATTAGGAATGTCAAAGGTTGATCAACATCCATAGCCGAATACTGGGCCTGTAATTTGTCAGAATAAGATATGGATATGTACACGAGCCCACATCGTTTGAAGCTGGGTAAAATTCGAGTGAAATTGTTTGTTCTTCTAGGCCTACGGGCATGTTGTGACTACCTTCCCCTAGAAAGGTTTTGCTCTGGTTTTCTCCTTGTGCCCAAGGGAAGCAGCAATTTTCAAATAAATTTAGGGAAAAATAATATAGCCGCGGCGCAAGGGTGCATGAACCGTAAGTTTATTTAGTAAGACTACTATTTGATCCCGATTAAAATTACCTGACATCTTTTCACACTCCGGCGCACTCAGAATTACCCTCCAATGTGTCCTGCGAGCTGGATGACTAATCGCTAATGGGTGGAACTTCAACCAACCGCCCTAAAATGCGCTGTAACACTGGTTCAGTAACATCGCTGGGCGTGCAGGTTATCAAAAGAGTAGCTCATATATCATCATGCCATTGATTCAGGTTGCTTTTAAGAGCCTTCTTGCTTTGAAAAAACTCTTGGAGGAAACTTTCGGAGACTGCTTGCCCATTTAACTCATTCCAAAGGCATCATCTCCACGGGCAACCATTTTCACGTGAACTAAGACTTTTGACGGATATCTTCTTAAAGAGGAGTGTTCCTTTACGACAAGAATGAATGAGAAATTCATCCACTATGGTTTCGAAATATTAGTTACGTTTTGTCTCACACAAGAAATATATGGATGAAAACAAAAGCATTCGGACCTCTTCAAAAACCTAACGGCGCTGAACTCTACTAAGTTTTTCGTATCAATGGCTGCCCAGCTCAACGAGCAGCGCACAGTAAATTTAAACAACCTGTGTGTGTCCTACAACACTTAGTTTGAACGCCAACGTGACTCATCTATTCACAGTTTACGGACAAAATAGTTAATAATAGAAATAGATGAGTTAGTTTTTGTAGCAACCAGCGATGCCTGGTTGTCATTAGGCTGACATGTACA